TTCACACTGGAAAAAATCCAAATCTAGATGAGTCATTTTTTCTTAAAATAAGTGCATTTGTTCTCAGATTGAGGAGATAAAAGACACATTTTGCCAATGGAACAAGACAATTTACATTTAAAATAAGAAAATGCAATTGCATTGTCTTATTTCGAGTGCATTTTATCTAATTATCTTATTTTAAGAGTAAAAATACTCATTCCATTGGCAAACTACCTTATTTACCCACTCAAAATAAGGGTAAATACACTTAATTTAAGAAACGTTTAATAATTTCTAGATCGTTTTTCCAGTGCATCTAGAGTTTCAAATGGGCTTTCATGGTGTTTTGCAGTTTTTATTTTGGAAATAAATTTGGCTAAATATTTTCCATTTTTTCTTAGTTTAATCACCTATAAATCAGACATGGTGACATTCCTCGATGCTTTTCTGTCATACAGATATAAACAATTGTATTTCCAATTTATAGTTTGGGAGCTGAACTTGCTTTAATTCACACACTGCAAAAAATATAAATCTTAAGTAAGTAATTTTTTCCTAAAACAAGTGCATTTCTTCTTGAAATTGAGCAGGTAAGTAAGACTCTTTGCCAATGGAATAAGACAGTTTCCATTTAAAATAAGAAAAAACAACTATATTCTATTACTTCAAGTGCATAATATCTAATTTATCTTATTTTAATGGTAAAAATGCTAATTCCATTGGCAGATCATCTTATTTTCCTGCTCAAATTTAGGGTAAATACACCTGTTTAAAGACATTTTTACTAATCTTCAGAACGTTTTTGCAGTGCAAATGTAACTTCAGGCAGAATTTGCTCCTAAGACCCTCTGGGCTTAAGGGGTTAAAGCTGTTTCACATGAATAAGCAAATTACTCACAACCGCTACATCCAAATGACTCCCCCTCCAGTGATGGCGCTCATAATAAAGTTCATTATCCATTTCTCAGTTTATTAGTTATAAACGCGGTTTTGATGGAGGTGTGCTGAAATCTCTAGTCTTTATTAACTCATTGCTGGTTTAAGGTCTGGTTTAATATCTCAACCTCATTGTTGCTCTTCATCCACAGCTGTTTTCTTTAAACTATTCATCCCTATTCATCCAAAAAATGTACATCTAAATAAGTCATTTTTTCTTAAAATAAGTGCATTTTTTTCTTGAATTGAGCAGGTAAGTGAGACACTTTGCCAGTGGAACGAGACAATGTACATTTAAAATAAGAAAAAAAAAACAACTGCAGTCTCTTATTTCAATTGTATAATATCTAATTATCTTATTTTAAGGGTAAAATGCTTATTCCATTGGCAGAGCATCTTATTTTCCTACTCATATTAAGGGTAAATACACTTATTTTAAGATATGTTTACTCATTTTCAGAAAGTTTTTGCAGTGCGGTCCCTAAAAGTGTTATTAGATCACCTTATAAACAATCTCTGCATCCTGGAATTTACATGAATAAGGAGGGCAGTGATGTGTCCAGTGAAATAATTGAAAATGAAAATGGTATTGATTGCCATTTCAGACATAATATGCCCAACAAACTGCAATATATTACATAATCTGTTATCTGTTGTATCTGTATATAGAATGAAGAGCATCTGTGAATAGCAGCTTTTACATCTCTAATCTGATTTAAACATTTAATACATTATTTGGTTTTAAATA